TTTCTTCCAGGCTTCAAGCAGTTACCAAAATACCAAAGGAAATTATTCAGGAGAGTGAACCCATGCAGGTAAACGGGACTAATATTTTCGAAAAAAAACAAACCCTCAACCTCTACCACAAAAAATGAAAGGAACTAGGAACGTAAACATAGACATGACGTAACCTTGTCGCTACTTCTTCAACGAAACAACTCTGCGCGCGGTGAGCAAGATAACAATGTTCCGTATGTGACACGCAAACTTGTTGTTGTTATTTTATTGTTGTTCTCAGATGACGAAAAATTCTCTTATTCTGAAAAACTTTGCAATCTTTTTAGGGTTTTCTTTGAAAGACCAATTGACCAATAGCACGACCTAAATTCGTAATCAGTCAGCTCCATCAACAGTCCTCTTATACCTCGCACCTGACCAATCTTCATTTTCTGTCTTCCTTCATTATTTTTTATTATCACTCACACCCACCTCATTTTGTGTTCATTAACGTATCTCGCAACAGCCAAGTCGTTATTTTGACATTGTACAATTCATTTTAAGGTGATGCAGTTTGAAGAAAACAACTATCAATATTGCCAACAAGATAGTGAGCCTAAATTTGAGGGTGTTCCCTGCTGTCTGTACGGAGACATGAAAGAATGCAGAATATGCAGGTATGTGAAAGACAATTTACCCAAAAAAAGCATGAAAATTGAGATAACTAGGACACCTCTGCAATCCATTTCGACTTTCTTATCTATGTTTCACATTTTTTCCCACACTGAAGAATTTCCACAAAAAAAAGGGGACCGAGAAAAAAAAGGACTTCATAACCACACGTCTTCGATGTTGTGGGACAAAAATTGTGGAATAAAAATTTGAAGTGGGAGAAGTCAATCTGGAAGAAGCCAATCAGAAAAAAATTTTTAAAGATTTCATAGCGTTACATGCCGTACTAGGTATAAATAAACAGTTATTTCTCTATATCATTTCCAAAGGTACATAACACTAGCTTATTTCCTCAACGATGTCGATGAAGGAGGGGAATTGGTGATGCCACTTGCAAATAGCGAATTTGAGGTAAGTCGATGCAAACACCTGGCAAAGATACGAAAGAAGCTATTTTTTAGTCTGGCCCCATATATAGATAGTGGTAATAAAATACGTAAAATGCAAAACTTTTAAAAGATGTAACCTTATGTAAGATAAAATTGTTTTTTCAACATTAAGCAGCATTAATGAAGGAAAAATAGCTTAGAAATTTTTGTCCGTCCAGAAGGGGAGGGGGAGAGGGACAGATCGGCACCTTGAGGTTCTAAACAGGGACAGGGGCCAATAAAGGAGACGATTTCATTAAAAACTTGAAGTTGTAGACGGGGGAAGTAGCGTTTATAAGGGAGAGGAGCTCATTAAAAACTTGAAAGTCGAAATGGGGTAAACTCAAAATTTCAGGGAGGTGGTTGGTTTAATAGAGGATGGGTCTTAACTACAAAATTGAAGATCTTCACCGTGGAGGAAGAATATAGGCTTGCAGTTCTAGACGGAGAGGGCTTGCTAAGGAATGGAGCCTTATAGATAATTGAAGTTCGAGGAATGGTGATTATTAGGAACATGAAGTTCCAGAAGATACCAGGGTACATGTGCTTATAAGAGAAAGAAGCTCATATAAACGTTAACTTCTAGACAAGGAAGGTTCCTCAGAGAAAGGGGCTCATTAGAAAATTGAAGTTCTTGACAGAGAGGAG